AGAGAAAGTCATTTTTGTTTGATTGTGTAGACTAAGAGCTGCCAGCAAAGCCCAAGGTGATGCTGCAAAGAAAACGCGTACACGTGAACGTCATGCTAGGGCAATGCCAGCTCCCGATGCCAATGCAGAGCTCCAGTCCAATATTGATGTATGTCTGATAATTTACCCGCATGAACTATTGTTGTTGTTTAGTTTTCGGTCCTTTCATTTACAAATGCTTAGACATGCATGCCATAGGATTACAGTTTCTATGCGAAGAACTAACCAAATAAATGGATATAGCATGTGGAGAATGTGTGGAAAGAATGTGACTTTTCCACCCTTTTCATAGCAGTAGATTTGACTAAAAAAAATTCCCATTCGCCAATGCCACTTGTGACTTGTGAGTTTTATTCATTTTATCCGGACCTGTTGTTTAATTTTCAAGAGCTTCATTTTGTTCCTTTTGTTGCTACTTTCAATGTGTTTGAGATTGCCTGGCAAGGGAGCGTCCTCCTTTTGTGCCACTTTTAACACTCTGTTTGGATGGATTGGGTAAAATCCTTTCTAATTGGAAGGATTGAAAAATGTGATGATAGAAGGAAGAGATGGATCCCTCCATTCATTTTTGGAGTACACATCCATCTTGCCAAACAAGGTATAAACACCTTTTGTCTCCCTCCGCCCTTCTTTCCACCATAACAAAGAGTAGGGGAGTTTCTAATACTAAGTATATGAGAAATCTATGTTTTCATAATCATCACAATAACCCGAGAGAATTTTCAGTGAGCCGATGACTTAATTTGCCTTTTACTTCTTTTAATTGTTAATCATGCTGTTTCTTTCTACAACAGAGAAGGCGCCTAATTAACCATGCAAATGCAAAAAGCAAGAGTGAAAAGTTTCCCCCACCACATCAGGATGGAGCTCTTGGCTATACTTTAGGATCTTCTCACCACATTGATCCTGCGCTTGTTCCTCCTGATGTGCCATTTAGTACTACCTCATTCACGTACTCAAAGGACCCAATACAAACTTGGTCTGGCCCGTTGGTTGACCCTGCTGGTGTCGGTGCTCCAAGGCGAAAGAAGAAGAATACTGGTGATGCACTAGGATCGTCAAATCTGCCAACTGGAAAAGATAAGAGCAGAGATACTCGGTTAAAAGGAAAAAAGAGCATGGCTTAAAACCTTGTTGCATGCATGGGATGCCAGATTTGTTGACTGGTGATTTCCCATACAAGAGTCACACTGCAATCTGTGTACTAAAACAACTTGATTCTTCACACACACAAGAACATATTTACTCGGTTAAAAATGTTTCGAGAGCTGAAATCAGATTTTCTGTTCTCTTTTTCCCATTTTAGATTTCTTCATTCCATAGAAGAAATATTTCTGCTCTCCTCGGGGATGGTGAGAAACTTCCATCGATGTGTACATGTTTATTATTCTTCCTTTCCTTCAGAATTTTCTTGTTGACAACTAAGTTATGTTCAGATTAGTAAAAGATGCCAATAATTCTTCAAGAGTTCCAGGAAGCCTGAGTTCTTTATTCCTTTGTATCAGTCACATGTCTAGATTTCCTTTCTGAAATCAAGGAGAGTGACTAGCGCGAAGTTTGTAAACTGCTGTAATAATAAAAGCACTGGACATGATCAATGGTCAAACATATTCATCATAGCAATTTCTCCCGAATGATTCCGGCCCACACAGACTCTTACAGCATAGCTTGGTTAATATTTTGGTGACAGTATCTTCTTCCTTCTCTCTCTTCTTTTATGGCGTGAAGGTGTCAGGTTGCTGTGGCATTCTGATTGCTGATGAAAACCATTTCCAAGGCCCGGATCAAATGATGTCATTTTATATTTATTTTTTTTTTAAAAAAAGTTAAATGTTAACCATTTCCAAGGCCCGGATCAAATGGTCATTTTATATTTATTTTTTAAAAAAGTTAAATGTTATTTTTAAAAAATAATAATTAAAAAGTCAAACCGCATATAGGGTTGATTCGGTGTTCCTCTAGTTTAACCAAGTTAATTTTCACTTATTTTCTTAAAACCTGGTTTATATTAAATTAACTCCTCAAGTTAGTTCTAGTAGGCAGTCCATGCACCCAGATCTCTACCAAGCTAAACTTCAACCTCAGACAGTGGATGGTGCTTGCTGACAGTTCCATTACATTAATGTAATGAATTGGTAGGGTTGGTTGGACACGGTCACAGTGGAAAGTATACGTTGAAGAATGTCAATAGCGTAGTTTGCCAAGTAGCAGGGCATTGGAGTTTCTTGTAAACTCTTGTCTGTGCGTAATCTTCAGCTGTTGTGGCAGTGGTGGTGATAGTAGAGTGGTATATCACTGCTACATTTTGTTAGAAAGCTAGGAAGCAATGGGACAGGAGGACCTGGCCCACCGGGATGGAGTCCGGCATCAGCAGGTCTATTTGGGCCACCAGGATGGGTTTCGGCACCACCAGGTTTTTTCGGTGGCTTTTGTGACATTATAACTTCTTCGTATGTTGCAAAACACTTTTCTCCAGGAAATGCCAGACTGCTTTAAGCCCCCGGAATCATAGTTTTTAAACCAAAGCCATGGAAAATATAATCAGGAGAGTTTATCAGGATTAATTTAGATTAATTTAATTCTTTTCATTTTATAAAGAAATAAAAGTACATCATTTAAAAAAAAAAAAATTATGAGTATTGACTAAGTTTTTTCATGCTGACTCATTGCACGTCAATTCAGGTTTTTTAGGGTTAACTATTCCTTTATTTTTATTGAAACTTGGCTTAGACTAAGCTTTAAATTGTACAGATCACGAATCAACCCCGGGTGGGGTTGGGTTTTAAAAAGTGCCTAAAATGCTGGTTTTAAGTCTCTCTGTTTTTTTACTTCTCTAATTAATTGTTATGTGTTTTGCAGCCTGAGCTTCTTGTGCTGTTGCTGGCTAGCACAAGACTGCTTTGGAGGTCCATTCGATCGGTCCACCTGGACCACCCGAACCATTTGGTCCATGACTGGCTGCACCAAATGTTTGGTCTCCCATCTCTGTTTGTAGGGCTTTCTATCCTAATATTGTTCGGCCCCTTTCATCGGGAATTCTTATATTTCAATCTTGCTACCATCTTTCTGATATCCCCTTGCAATAATATATGTTTTTTTCTGGTTAAAAAAATAATTTAATTTAAAAATTTAAGTTGATAGATCATATCTCAATATATAATTTATATTATTTTTTAACAAATTTCTTCAAGTAAAAATTATTTAAACTTAAAATTTATATATGTTTATATTCTTAAATTTTACCAAATAAATAAGAAAATTTAAAATTTGATTATTTGGTTATTAAAACTATAATATTATGTTAAAAATTAATTTAACCCTAAAATTTAAATTATTAAATAAAATTATAAAATATAATTTATATCATTAACAACCATTCTTAAAGTTATGAGATTGCTATATTGTCGAAAGCTTTAATGCTTAGTCGTTGGTGCACATATGGTAGCCATTGACTTTGCAAACCAACACTTCAAATGCTTCATCCTCTTCGAGAGACGGGAGACGAGAGATGCATGCCCGATGTTTCATTGATCAATCATCCACAGGGTGCTTCAATCTTACTGATCAGAGGAGTAATTGGGGAAAAAATCAAGAGAACAGAAAAAAAAAACAAGTGACTATGAAATAAATTGTTCTTTAAGAAAATATGTTGTGTCGGCGAAAATGGGGAGGCGGATCCGTCACGTCAACATGCGTATGCTGGCGGTGTTTCAAGGTGGAGTGTAGCGGAGTAGATTGCTGTCAGAAGCAAAATTCTTAAACACTAACATCATTAGAAAGCCAAGTTTGGACACAGATCTCACACGAATGGATTGTGCGAGTTAATTATCTTTGAACTGATTAGAATGTTGCCTTCTTGTCACCCAATTTCCAGCCATAATCTCTTACCACTCTTGATTTTAGACAAACCTACGTGGTAAGATGCTTGCTTATGAAATTAAGAGTAGCATACCTATCTATGAAGGGCATGTTAATTTGGCCTTCCAGTTGAACGTCATTTCGTCATTTAAAAAAAAAATTAATATATTTTTTAATTGTTTTGATGTTTTGAAATCGAGAATATACCTTAAAAAATAAAATATTATGATATATTTTTAAATAAAAAATACTTTAAAATATAATATCTATTATATTTTCAAACAAATATAAAATCAACACAGGTGAAGATATAGGCAGGTGGAAGCTGGCAAAATTCCTTGTTACCTTGAAGAATTAAAAAATTTTGGATCAAAATTAATAAAATTCAAGTTTTCCTTGAAAAAAATTTCTATTCTTGACCACCTCTAAAAAATAAAATTAAAAAATCTGTTGTGTCCCTGTAGACGGGCTTGCTAAACAGCTTGAAGTTTGATTTCCCTCCACATACTTTGTACAGTGGTCATTATTGCACGATATTTTTTATAATGAGACATAAAATTTTATTTATCAAAGTGTTTTTTAACTAATTTTTGTAAAACAAGAAATTGTTTTTCAAAAAATAGCTCGAGAAATTAATACAATTATGTATCAATGTACTAAGCTTAGGAAAGCGACTAGTATAGGTCATCAACCTTGTGAATAGTGAAGTTGATGAAATTTGTGGAGCAAAAAAAATATCTCCTTCCATGTAACCATGTGTAGAGCGAAGTTGATGAGAAAGCATGCATGCATATGTTGACAGTTTGGAGGTTTGACCGTTAGGTTTAAGTTGTCGGAAGGTGTTTAAAATTATTTTTTAAAATATTTTTTGTTTCAAAAAATATTAAAATAATAATTTTTTATTTTTTTTCAATTTATTTTTAATATTGTAAAAACACTAAAAATTAATTTTAACAAAAACGGGTTGCATCGCAACCCCAAACGAGAAATTAATATCTATTACAAAGAAGTGTTATGGATGACTTTTTCTACTTACTAGTCCAAGGTTGTTCTTGAGATTTCAACACTCCTTATCTCTTAAGCTCTCTTTTCCTTTATCTAATGATGGTCTATATAAATAATGGGACACTACCATTGTTTCTCATCATATTACTAGCTTAACTGCATCTCGAGATACAGGTCCATAGGGCGACTTATTTAAAAGAGAGAAGATGCCACCACCAGGTTGGGGACCGCCGCCGGGAGGACCACCCGGAGGCCCGGGAATTTGTGGCTGCTTTGGCTTCTTATGTGATGGTATCTGCAGGGTTGTGAATTCATGGTGAGTTTTTCTTCTCTTTATTGTTGTTCTTGTTAATTGTAGGTTGCGATGCTTGATCCATGATTGATGATATATATTAGCCCATATTCGTGTTATAACTGACTTTCTTATGAGATATTGTCCTCCTTCGATCTCAAGAGGTATGATACATGAACTTACAAGTTTCTTGAATCTTTAATGTTCTAGCCTATATGGTATATTAAATATTATCGATGATCAATTAATTTTCTAAAGAACAAACAATTCACAGAGTATTTATATATGATTTAGGAATATTATGACAATGATAATCTTTTTCTGTAAAAACATGGAATGGAAATATAACACGAGCAGCTAATAAAAAATTGAAGTCCAAGAATTAGTTTGGACAAGCCAAACAAGTCTTTTAGTATAAAGGAGTATAATTCCTTATGCCAACATAACTTAGAATCTTGATTGTGTAAGTAGATCACCTTGTTGTAATCCCTCTGATATCATAATCATGTTCAAATGAGATCTATAAATTGTTGTTCGGGGATTTTCTTTATTTTTATTTTATTTTTGGAATCCTTTCCTAGTTAGGACTCAAGATTATTGAAGAATTTATTTAAAGTTTTCTTTATGTTTAGAGTTATTAATGATAAACTTTAGTTTTCTATCTTTTTCTGCTATGTGCTGTGTAAAACTAGGCTTTGTTTGTTTTTTACCCGTTGTGAAGAGAAACTAGATTTAATTTATGACAAGGTTCCAAGCAGTGACATGGTTTTGCCTTTTCTGTTGTCAGTTGCTATGTTCTGTGCTGCTGCTGCATCTTTGAAAGGTGTTGTGGACCCATGTTTGGTGGACCGGGCGGTCCTGGCGGTCCAGGCGGTCCAGGTGGTCCAGGTCGTTTCTGATCACCGCATGTTGACTTGTTGATTGTTATGAACACAATCGTGGCCTAAATAGTGGGATAGAGATTGGCGACTTTCTTCTTCTTCTTCGAGTACCTTGTATTGTTGTTCATTTCTACGGTTATGTGATAGCACAACCAGAGGTAGTTTTTAATCGTATTTTTACGTCTTGTAATAATATTACAATATGGGAGTGCTGCTTTTCTTTCCTCAACTCATGATCACGCATTTGTCGGTCTTGTTTAATTCGAGATTATTTCTTGCAATGTGACTGCCTCCCTTGAGAAGTGGATAGTGTGACCTAGGCATTGATGGTGATTAAGAAAACCTTGTTGCCAGAGCAGCAATGGATTACAAGGGTTCTCCCTCACTTTCTCAATGGGAAGGCTGCAGGTTGAACCAAGGCAAAAAAAGGAACATGGAAGCATGGTTATCATACTGGGCACTTGGCCAGATCGACCCCAAATCTACCCAAGACGACATTGTTTTGACATCATTTTAAACAAAAAAATAATAATCATAAAACAACCCTTTGTTAAGTCATGTCAGGTCAGGTTTAATAACCATGCCAGGAATCAATTATAAAAGGGGGTGAGACTAAAAGCAGAGGGTGTCATTTGAACTTCAAGAATATTAGATTCAAGTCTTGTAAGGAAACAAATTCAGTAAATTGAGGAGCATAAACAATCGTTTCAAGACCATCAAGACGTGCCCTGCTGCACAAAATCTAGATTTTCTTATCCCTTCCACAGGTCACCTCAGAGGTTTTAGGTTTGTATGATTAGGGACTTGCCATCAATAGACATTAGACAATATCCTGATGCACCACCGACTATTGGCCAATTCCAAAAGGTCCATATGAGGTAAGACTTGAGAAAGAAAAACATCCTTACTGTATTACGAAATGTGTATATTCCACTTTAATTTTCAGAAATTCTAGGGTCCTGAGTACCTCTCCACCGTTATCCACATGTCTTTGTATTGTTCGAGTTAAACCGAAAAACTGGGTCAAAAAAAGCAGTGAATTTGCAAAGAAGAAATTAAATGCTCAATGAGATGAATTTAATTTCCTAAGCGTGGGCAACTAATCAGTTCAAAAGTCCATGGATGTAGCCCCACTTTACAACCTCAATACAACATAAAGAGAGTACATCCATGTGACCTACATGGCTGTCTCAATTTCAAAGCTAAAGCTTAGAGCACAAAACCAAAACCAAATCCTTTCCAATCTCAATCTTCTTCTTCAGATGCCTCTCTCAACCACTACAACAAAGATGAATATAAAATGTGAACTCGCACGTTATATGATGCAATAATAGCATCATGCGTCAAGTTTAGGGGAGCTATCCAATAAAAGAATAATAGTATAAGAAGAAGAAAAAAATGTTTGGCAAAGATTTCAATGACTTAAGTATTCATAGGCTGCAATCCAGAGCTCATCCAACTCTATATGTGCACGTCCTCTATCCTTCTAACTCTCATAGTAGCATGGGCAAACAATCATGCATGATTGATGGAACATATCAGAGAGGGAATTATTAAGGCCCAGAGCTTCTCTGAATTTATTTACCAGGCTGTGACTATGAAGGCTCCTACTTGTGTGAGAAACAGGATAGAACCCGTGACAGCCAACACAGACAATTGGCATCCAAGCATGGAAGATGCAGTGTGATTGCATATGTAACTAATTCATTAAACAGTAAGGTTAGAGTATTAAATCTTACTTGAATGAGTTTTTCTGACTGCTTGACAAAAACTTTATCTGATTCTTCAGCATCTTTTTTCTCATCAGCCCACCTCAATATGGCATCCTCTTCTAAAATGTCTTTATCATATAAAATATGCAAAATCTGAGAGAAAATCATATGACCCGATCACCAACATGACAAACAACAGTTTACATTCACCTATTGAAGCATCAATAAAGTTTTTTTTTTTGGATCGAGGCCAGCATATCAGAAGTTATTAATGCATAGAGATCAATAAACATAATCCAAGAAAATAAAAATACCTGGGAAAAATGGGGCGAGAACTCCTTAACAGATTCCAGACACATTTCTTCAAATTTCATTATCACTTCAATCTGTACAAGTGATATCAAGTTAACACCCATGGACAACTGAGGGAACTGTTTATGAAATGAACTATCTTATCCATCCAAATTCTTCATGAAAGCAACAAACAGAACTATTTTAAAGATTTCTTCAAGTGAGAAATCACCTTGGCAGTCAGAGTGCATGACAGGAAGAAACAGAATAAGTGATTTAGCGGGAAAACATATCTGTTTTCCCTATAAATTAATAAATGGAAGTAAAACTCCAATATTCACTCCAATAGTAGGATATTATACAGAAGTAATAAAAAGATTGTCAATAGAGAACGAATATATAAAGATTTGAATGAGGTTTCTCTCTGAAAAGATGATATAAGACTGATAAAAGATGATGAAAGATATGTAAAGAATGGCTAGTCAAGAAGATCAACAATGCAAACCTGGTCATCTATTTCCTTTGAATAGAACTTTAGAAGGTTGTTCCATGCATCTATAATGCTTGCTGCATTTTTTCGCAATTCACCTGAAAGGTTACATGAAATATTAATTGAAGCCACAGAGTTTGATTCATCCCTCCTACCCAACAATAAGAAAAAAGAAATAATAAAAGCAATCACAATTGTGAAGGGGTTAGAAGCAGGAATTAGTTTTCAAATCATGACAGATTCAAAGCATCATTTAATGTGTTCCATCCTACCTTGCCTAACAAGCAAAATGAAATAGGTTAATCGTTATGCCCATAAAATATTACCCCTTATCTAGAGATATTCACAAAATTTCCAACGTATTTTCACTCATCAAGAACAAATTATTGTCTCAGATCATTCATAGAAAAGAAAATAATTCACTTGCATGAATGTGTAGTACAATATGGCACAAGTACAGAAGTATTTACCAGCAGTAGCATGTGGAATCTCTAATGCCTGTTTCATCATTGCATAAAATATTGCCCCAGCACAGTCTGCGGATGTCATGTTGTATGACAACCTAAAAATTGAAATGGGAAATGAAATTAAAGATAGAATGCATAACTTTGAGCAATTATATGTTGTTGATAATATTAAACAGAAAAAGGAAGATAAAAATAAAAATGGTTAGGCAATCAAGAGGAAAGGGGTAAAAACACATCATCCATATTAAACCTCACACAGGCAAGGCTAAGATGAAGGTTTCAGACAAATTAGTTCTATCAATTCAATATTTTCCAGAATGCAACCATTCTTCCAAACTTTTTCCTTCAATGAGTTCAAAGGATTAGGTTTGAAAGGTTCACAAGGTTAATAATGCTAAAGAGGATGAAAAATATAGCGATAATTTAAAAATTGACTAGCAAAACAAATGTGTCGAATATTTGATACATTATGGGAGACATGGTTATGAACTACTTGTCCACTATTCAGAAGCAGTAGAGGAAGAAGCAGAGTTAAACAGGCAATAATACCTGTTCATGAGCCAAATACAACAGTCCCTTACAATATTTAATATCACCTTATTTATATGTATTTAAAGAATTTTATAGAAAATATAATTTAATAATCACTCATCTAGATAAAATTATGAGCTTTTTATATATCATTACTCACATTTTATGTGAAAGTTTGTCCATCCTACATCTAATAGAAAGTTATGAAGAGAAGACTACTAGTTGAACAAGACTGAGTGGTGTTACAGGTTCAAACAAAGGTCAAAACAGGATCTTAAAATGAAATAAAAAATAATAATTAATACTAATCACAGAATTATTGACTATATCAGCCATTTATCGAATTCCGTTTACCAAGGGGATTCCAACTGCCTCCTATTTCAGCCCTGGCAGATGATGGTAACAAAGCCACTCAAAGGTTCAAAACTCAAACATTATTTCTTCTATTGACTCGGGAAAGGCTAGGCATCATGACATGTACAGTTTTGTGCATGAAAACAAGCAAAAACACTAAATCAAATGGTTCAGTGCAAGCTTTCAGCCAGAGACACAAACCTGGGATCTTTTATGTGTTTCAATAGACAATTGATAATAAGCCTTTATTAAATAAATTATTTAAAAGAAATAAACTAAAAATCAGAATAAGGTATTAGTAAGCCAAAAGAGGTAACCAGAGGAAGGAGAACAGGTTAAAAGGTAGAAAATTATCAACTTTTGACGATGAGTCTTCATTATACATGTGTAGATTATTATGTATGAAAATGAACTTAATAAACTTATTTACCCTGTAAAGTATTGATAAATAGGCATCTGCATTATGAGCATCAATACGAGATCTATGTTATGGGTCCAGTTAAGAAAACAAAAATAATCTAACATACCGCAGAGAGTTCATTTCAAGAATTACATCAGGTACTTTGATATTCTCATTAACAGCCCTCAAAAAAGTTGCTTCAACCTGCAAAACATAGTGGAATATTCAAGGTTTTGTGGGAACTATCAGTGAAATTTTTGCTGTCATCCAAATGCTGCATGATTTTCACCTCTTTCTCGTAGTAAATGGAATCATCTCTGGAATCTTCAGCATCATCATCTTCAGAATCAGTACCATTACGACCAGGCTTCAACTCCCCAGAAGTTGAGAGAGCATTTCCATCTAGATTTAAGAATTCCAAATCATCCTCCAAAGATTGAGTGGCCTCAGCAAGTTTATCAGCAGGAATGGGTGCAACTGAATGTCTCCATTCTTCCTCGTGACCTCCCTCACATATTGACCAAACATGGCCAACACCACCAGGCCCAAGCTGAAAACTCATAAAAGATATCAAGAAAGAGCAGAAACATATTCAGATTAACAATAGCATATGATGATTATCAGATTACAATAGCAAGGCTCAACGCTGTGTTTTTTTTTCTTTTTGAGGATAGAAAAAATATGTTATTAGATAAGAACAGTAAATTCATAGAGATGAAGGACGAGAATTCTGCCAAGGCAGATATACAAAATCTGAAACAACAAAATGTGAATGACCCAGCTCACAGTTTTTCTACAAACTTTCATGTCTGTTATTACTAGGAAAACTCTATACACATTTCTCGATGTGAACCTTAGCCTCAACCCCAAATGACTGGTGTAAGGACAGCATCTGTGACAGAGGGTTGTGAAGTGCACTAAGAGAAAATTTGAATTCATAACTTAATCTGACCAGCATCCCATTTGCTTGCCAAAGAAAAGGAGAAGCAGGTGACTAATAGGTAACACACTTTT